TTTTTTTTTTTTTTTTTTTTTTTTTTTTTTTTTTTTTTTTTTTTTTTTTTTTTTTTTTTTTTTTGCTGTTTTGTGTTGCAGGCTTCTGCCTGACTGGTGCTTGGCAGGTGCCTGGACTTTTAAAAAACTGTGATGGAGCTGTGAATAGAGTGAAGCAGGAGCTATAATGGACCATTAACTGGGGCCAGAGTTTTCTCCAGCTCTATGGAGTATAGAGCAGTCAGCAGCATCATTTTAAACCTTTTTTTTCCCATATACAAACCTTCATAAAACCTTTGTAATTCAAATGAAAAAGAAAACATCTGTCGTGGGGGAAAACAATTGAATCAAATTTTAAATCGGGGCGCATTTAGTCTTTAGTAAAAGTCCATTAGCTTTTTGTCTTGATGTCTCTTGATTCTCCAAATCGATCAAAACAGACATATTTTCTCGGAGGTTCTGCAGGTGAGACCACAGCTTCTCTTTTCAGGTCTCTTTCTAAAGTGTAGGTAAGGCATTCCTAAACTCAACGGTTTTCCCTCATCAAGTTATTTTCTGTTGATCTGGATTCATTATTCCGCCTGGTGAGACTGGAAAAAAATTAAGTCTTCTTCGCAGGAAACTTTTTGGTTCTGGATCTAAATAGTCTGATATTCCGTCTGATAATTAAAAAAAAAATCTAACAAAGCTACCCTATAGCATGATGCTGCTTTAAGTATGCTTTTTTTTATGGGATTGAAGCTGATCATAACACTTATAAGGTGAATGGAGAGTTTCTGTACCTTTGTACAGTAAGATTGCATAAACGTTTTCTCGTCTAGCTGCACGTCATGGTTTTATTTTAAATACGCAGATAAGCAAAGTTTAGAAAAAGGTCATGAGGACACTTGAAGTTTATTTTAGATTAGTCAGATGCCATAAAATTTTATGTTATCAAAGACTGAATTAAAACAACTTAAACAAATTATAGTTTAGAGGTCTGTGTATTTAAATAATGGAGGCTAGAGAAGCTTTTCATGTTGCTCTTTTTTACTCAGTATATCTTAATAATTTTTCTGTTGAATTGATTTACCCATTTTGTTTCAAGTCACCATCCTGATGTGTTATGGGGTAACATTATGTGTTAAAATGACATTAAGTACGTGACTATATAGCTGTAATGAATGTTATCTTGCCTTCAGTTGGAATAATTACGCTCCTTTCCTAAAAAAAAAAAGGCAACAACTCTGATTGTTATTTCTTGAAACCTGCCATTTTAGTTAAAGCCCACTACTCATATCATCATTTTATAATGTATACAGCCAATTACGCCGGCATTTAGCTGTGATTTCTGAAATTAATGTTGTTCATTTATACAATCATGTTTCTTATGGAATGCATGCTGCTTAATTGAATGAGCTGCTTTAAATTTTAAATATGGAATAGCGCATTCATTGCAGCTACCTTTTTATTTTAGAAGCCTCATTTTGAAACTGAAGTGCCTTACAATCCTTTTGGTTCGTTTTTTTTTTTTTTATAGGATTTAATCCCACGGTGTGTGCCTGCTTGTGTTGTGTCAAGGGACCCCATAATGGAGTGTTAAACCTATTAAAAACTCCCCCGACTCCACCTAGTTGGCTACAAACATGACAAAGGAAGTCTAAAACTACGAGAGGTTAGAAGTAAACCAAAGTCCCTGCTTACATGACTATGTAAAAACAAAACAAAAAAAACGAGGCTATTTAGTTTCCTTCCTGTTGCATGGAAGACGACGTGTAAGTTAAAGGAATAAGTACATGTAGATTCATCTATTGCTTTAGATGGACTGAGAAACTTCAGTAGCCGGCTGTTGAAATGCACATTCCTTTGTAATACAAAGAGACAAGAGAAAAGTTGCTAGCAGTGTTTGCTCAAAGATGAAGGATAAAATGATAAGCAGACAGGAGACAATCTTCTGGCAGCCTTTTTAAATTGCTTTGCACTATTTTGTAATTTGGGAACCCTTTAAAACGGATCTGCGGCTCTGCCCTCTCACCTGCATCAAACCAGGGAGAAATAAAACAGAACTTTCTTTTAGTTTTTTTTTTTGTCTTTTTAGGCTGCTTTTTAAAGCTCCCCAACAGGCCATGGTCTCCGTTGTTTAGCTTCATGTACAGTGGTGTGACTGCTGAGACCTGAGCTTTCCTGTTGTTTATTTCACCTCCTTGGCTCATAGATGCTTGGAGCACTACAGGTCACTCTGATGAATTTGTGTTTATGGCAGAGTTTGAAGGAAAGATGTTATTATTCCATGTTACCTACCAGAGTTCTGTTAATGAAAGCCCGGGATGTTTACATTCGGAGCATGCACTTTGTGTGTGTAAGATGCATGCTGTACCTTAGTGTTTTATTATGGCTTAGATTTAAAGGTTGATTATGAATGGGGGTTTTCTTGGGGAGGCTAGCATGAGAAAAGTAACAATGTTTAGACACTTCGTTTCTATTTCTACTTGTTGAACCTGTGTCTGCACATGTGCAGTAGAGCTCTGTGGGTGTGTGTTTGTTTTAGTGTAAATCAAATCTAAAAGTCTAAATGAGATCCTTTTAATTGCATGTTATCAAGAATCTGACTCTTTATTTACAGCTTTATTGGTTTCGTTTGATCGTCCCGCAGGTGGCCATAAAGATCATTGACAAGACGCAGCTGGATGCCGTCAACCTGGAGAAGATCTACAGAGAAGTTCAGATCATGAAGATGCTGGACCACCCCCACATTATCAAGCTCTACCAGGTAGGTGTTCGCCATCTGAACCTGACATCTTACAATATTTATCAGCTTTATCAGGTATCATTGACTCATGCTGAACAGTAAACATCATTCCATTTTTTTCTTTTTGGTCATTCAACATCTGTGCTTCATAAAGGCCAGGAAAAAAACTTTTATAAAGTTGTTAAAAGCCTTGGTTCATCATTCTTTATACATACTTTTCAAGATTTAGTTTTCTTATACAGCTATTCAAGAACTTATAAAAATATAGGGTCTCCCAAGTCTGCCCATGTTTTCTGTAGAATTGAATCTTCTGAACCATTTTTGTCTGAAACACAATTGTTTTGTTTTTTCCCCCATGGTCATAAACACATAAAATACTGCAGTGTCCTTGAATAAAAATGGAATAAAGATGGAATACTAGCCACCATTTGTGTAAACAAATAATCAAGAAATGAGAAAGTTGGAGCAAAGTACATTAGAGGTTTAAATGTACTTATAGACCAAAGCTTTGGTGGCATATCTTTGTTTTGATGTTTGATTTAATAGACTAAAATAAAGAAAATCTCTAGTCTGCACACCAGATAACTCATCACTGGCAGACACCTTTGAAGTAATAAATGATTTGAATGCATTTGATAAATAATAACTATTAACACAATAACTTGGGAATATTTAAAAAGAGACTTGTTTCAGGGTCAAAAGTCTGCTGCTTTATGTCTCATACTGGCTTTACTGGAATATTTTAAGACAGATCAGGATCTTGATCGAAATCGTCCCGAAATTACTTGTACATAGAAAAATAGCCAGACGTATCTAGTTATTTTTATCCTTCAAACACAACCTCCCCTCCCCTCAGGTAAAGACTATTGTTCTATCATATCTTTTGTAATCACGCTCACATTTTGGCATGTGTTATCTGCAAGGGAGTGGCATGATTACCTCAAATTAAGAAGATTAAAAGCAAAGACTTTGGTCCGCAGATATATCTAGATTAAGTGAACTGCGACGGCTCATTAGCGAATACCCAACACCCCCCGAGAGGAGCTGAACGCTCGTCTTTGTCTCTGGCTTTCAGAGGGTCTCTAGCAAAGCTCTCCCTGGAGCGCACTGTACCGTTTATGTTAGAAAGCCTGTTTAGAAAAATGAGAGAGATCTCAGTTGTGACCAGAGAAAGTCCTGAACCAATGCCTTGTTTATTTAAAGGCATTTCTGCAAAGGTTTGCTTTAATTGTTATATAAAGAATCAGATCCAGACCACTACATGTAATACATGTGTTTAAAAACATCGTATAAATGTGTAATAACTCATGTTTTGGAAGAACTATTAAGTAAAAGGGCTTTGAAGGAAGTTTATATAGACACAATAAGCAAATTCTCTTAAATTCTAAAACAAAATTCTCTGTAAAGACAGAAGTTGTTTTTTTTTTGTTTTTTGTTTTTTGTATAATTGGACTTTTAAAAAATACTTTTCTAAATAGGAGCTCTATGCGGTCAGAACCTGACGGCAAAAGTTTAAGAAGCTAACGGCCGAGTGCTACTGTTGAATGTCTACGTGCTTCCCGGGTCCGATTGTTGGTGTTATCCAAGTCAAAGTCTGCCTTCGTGCAGGCTGTCTGAGATCAGGGTTCACAGAGTAATATGTAACGCATGTTGCAGACTCTCTATAAACACATGTTTAAACGGGGCGGCCGGTTGGGGGCTATACAGTGAACCATCGCTTCTTGATCATCTTCTTTTGTGGTTTCTTAAGCAGCTGGGGGTGTTGAAGCGCGAGATTAGTCCAGGCCATGTTCTAATACATAAGCAAACAGATCCTCTGCTTGATAGTTACAGAACATAGTTAATGACTGACTGAGTGCCTCAGTGCCGTCTCCCTGCTTGCTCCCTAGCCAAGGAAAGGCTAGATCGTCACCCTTTAGCTCTATTCTGGAGATGATGATCTTTCATCACATATCCACCCTTTGATTTACTGGCGCTTCTAAAATGAGTAGCATTTAGTTAGACATTGTAAACTATAAATCTAAGTTTGTTGCTGGGAGTTGTCGCTAGTTGTTAGCAAGAAAGAGTTTCTTAAATTATAACCTGTAATAGGGAGATGGGTTCAATATAGTTTTACCCCCCCATTCTACATTATTGCTGTCACTCGCTTTTTGGGCTTAAAAAAAAATACAAATAATACAATACAAATAACCCTGTTTCCAAATGGGATTTCTATATAATATATGAATACTAGGAAAACAAAACCCTCGCTTTGTGCACATGAGTATGTTAACATGAAACTCCACCAATGCATTTCTTCCATGAATAAATTGAAACCACTTTTTTACATATTTTACAAAAAGAAAAGCCCTTGCATTAAATCAAACCTACAATTGACTGCATTAGGTTAGTTAAGACTACTAACCTAATGGAAGAAAGAAGAATGAAAGAAAGCTTGAAAATAATCTGCTGGACATTTAAATTGATCCAGACAGAGCTGGTGGAAGAAGTTCAGGTTTGTCGGCTGTTTCACTTTTTTACACTCCTGCCCATACATTCCCTGTTAGATTTAGATTGGTGCTTCATGATGGTCTATTAAAAATAGGGCTGGGTAATAAATAATAATAAAGCAATAAAATAATTTAATACAATTTTTTTTGTTTGTGGGGATTTGATTTTTAGAAATAATTTTTTTTTTTCCTCAAGCTTCCATAGCTGATAAACTAGCTCTCTGTGTGATGCCAAAAGCTACGCACATTCACTTTGTTGCCTTTTTTTTAAGGTCACCTCCCAGAGGGGACGATTGAAATCAAAGCTAGTCAAACTGTCCTTTTTTTTTTGGTTTTTTTTTTTTTTGTTTGTTTTTTTTTTGTAATGAAACCTAAATGAGAAAAAGGGGAAAAAAAAGATTAATCAGATTTTATAGGGAAAAAATTGGGGATTTCAATTTTAAGCTGTATCATCCAGCTCTTGTACAAAGGATTGATTTTTGGCAGTATGCTCACCGTCATTGATCATTCAAGAACGCTCAGTTCTTGGTGTTGCATCAATATCTCTAGAACACACGACATGAGGACTAAACCCACTTCTAATAGTCACTGTGACCAAAAATAATAGTTTTATCAGAACTTAGCACAGGGCTCCATAATATTTAATACATTTGTCTCTGTGTTTTTTTTTTTTTAAAGTGGCCTAACAGTCAATGTCAGGACTTCTCTCTGAGTATGGTGATAACCGTTGGACAGCTTGAGTCAATCACTTGTTTTCCTTGGGTTAATACGCACCTTTTGGACCAACCACTCTCATCTCTGGGACCAGAACTTCTTGCTGAATAAAACCAAAGCTAGACGTTCCTGATGTGTTTGAAGGATGGGATGAACATTGCTTTTTTTTAGACAGCTGGAAATGTTTGCAAGGAGTAACTATGGCTGTGATAATCCACTGTGGGGAAAGACTTATCCTTAGGGTCTCATTGTAATGCATCCACCTCTGTGTCTCCTTATGTGAACTGACGTTTTAGAAGCTTAAAAGACCCTGAGATCACCTTCGAGGCTTTTCAAAATTAGATTAAGGCATTGTGATCTTTGTGTATATTAACAATTACATTTGAAGATGAATCCCCTTTACCCAGTGTATCTCTCATTATTCTGGTTGACGGTAAATGACAATAATTGTCCTTAACAAGACTGAGCTTTATTCCATCAGGCTTTAATTATCTGATTCTTTTTTTGTGTGTGTCTTTCTATGCGTCTTAAAAGTTTTTCCTGCTGTACGTTTTGTGATTTTTGTGTCTATGAAATTGGCTTTATAAATGCACCTTACCGACCAAAAAAGGAGACGTTTAGTTTGATCTAATCAGAGATTTAAATTAGGAAAAAGGAGCCATCTTTGGTGCATGAATGCATCTGTAATATCAACCTATATATTCGGTACATATCCAGCTGTAAATTTAGTTCATAATACTAGTTATCTATATAGATTATATTCATAGGACAAATCTATTAGTAAGATTCTATTTATAATGGTATTCATCTCTATGCTTATTCAGTAGAAACTCATGTCCTGTATTTATGGAACCATTATTTATTCTGCACTTGCTGCTATTGCACTTCTGGTTAGACCTAAACTACATTTTGTTGCCTTGTACCTGTACCTAGGTAATAACAATAAAGTTGATTCTAATCTAATCTGGTAAACATTTTAATTCTAAGGACATTACCGGTAAGTAAATTTAAGAGCCATTAGATGCGTATATCAGCAGTGTATGTTTTATTTTGTAGAGATTGTTTTGTTCCCCCTTGCATCGTTTTTTACCTTTTTAATAAAAGAAAAAAACTCTCAGAAATGCAACAGTTTCAAAAGTTTATTTTACAAAATGTTTTTTTCCGTTGTCGCTGCGAAGAAGAAAAAAACCTTGTTACATAAACGACCCAGTCCTGCTCTTTCATTTAGGGAACGTAAATAAATGTTCATTATCATTTCAAAACCATGTGACACTGGTCCATCTATGTGCTGGGTTATTTTAGTACGTTTCATTATTTTTAATTTTTTTCCTTCGGCAGGCCCTGGTCCGTCCAATCAGCTCGGCTCAATTAGTTTGTTCTCTTCCCCCCTCATAAACTGGGGCTGACCCTGTGGCCTTAGGAAAGTCTATCTAATGAAGACAGACAAAGGACACAAATTAACTCCTTGTTTTTCGTGTTAATAGCCCTTTCTATGACCCCTGGCCGACCATTATTTTCTGCATTTCGTTCTCATCCTGCTCTCCTCTGACTCTCCTGGGTGCTCCTTTCTGCTTTCCCGTTTACCTGCCAGTAGTCTTCCTGCAAGTGTAAAGGTTTCCAAATGACAGAGGAGCTTTGTTTCTATCAATCTGCAATGTGAGGCCTAGAGAATATTTAAATTTCATATAACAAGAAAAGATCCTTGAATTTATCCATAAATAATGTAGAGATGCATTTAACCGTTACAGGATGTGGGCACTCAAAAGGACTGGAGTTTGCATTAGAAGAGTTAAATCAATAAAAGGTGCTTCAATTATTTAAATTACTGCTATGTAAACATTAAATGAGTACGAGTTTATTTAACACTCAGTTAACCACAGGAGGCAATTCTGTTCTCTATTGCAACAGTATAAGTAGAGGAAATGGAGACGAGTGCAAGAAAACACTAATATTTATCGCTTTTTCTCTTTTTGCAGTTTCTTCTTTTTTGTGGAAAATTCATTTTATAAAACCCAAACGTTTTAAATATTTGTGCCAAAAATGCACTTCTGCTTTTGTTTTCTGCATTTCCTGTCAACAACAGCAGTTTTGTCTGTGTCTTTACATGGAGGCCATCTAAGGGGTGTTGCCTTTGTAAATGAATAAAAACCACAAGTAGCAAACTGACTGACATTTACTTATTACACTACTGAATACATTTCCGACATAAAATGACATGTATAAACATCCATAACTTGCACTCGGTGTATCACAAACTAAACCTGGTAACTCATTATTAATAGCAAATTATCCAGAGTGTTCATGGAGGAAACTGCAGATGATTAAGAGATCTGAAATCAAATAAAAATTCCCTCAACTTGCAAGAGATTCTGGATTATCAGTAAAGTCACACATCCAGGTCTGGAGTAGAATAGAAAGCAGAATATGAATACAAATGTAATATTTCCAATTTATCCATTCATCCCATTGCCTCTTTTTAATTCAATTATTCTGTGGAATACTCTTTGTTCATCTGTCCAGCGTATTTTGCTTACATAAAGACAGTCTCACCACTGTCTAAAGATCCTCATTTTTAAGTAAAGATTTGGATTTTTAAGTATTTTTATTTTTTTTTCTCTGTTAATATGTTAAGAATTATGAAAGTTTTACAGCCACCCTAATGGTAAGAACAATGTGAATGCTCCAGGTTACTCACACTTAATCAATAAATTGTTTGACACAGAGGGCAGAATATTTTTGCTAAACTACCCAGCATTCTTTTTATAATTGCCCAAATTCATGAATTGTTTTGTGCAACAGATGGAATACCGATCTCAAACGAGGAGTGTGGGATTTCTAGTGTGAATGTCTGGCTGGCAGTGTCTGATTCATCCCACCGTCCTCATCTGATGCTCCACTCGGCGGTTTAATTCTATTCATATCCTGAGTGTTTCTGCTTTTAAATCGGTCCTCCTACACAACCCAGCACCATGTCAGGACTGAAAGGTCTAAAGTACCATTCAGATCCACTCAGCAACACCAACCGTCCACCTTCGTTCTTTTACATGGATGCCATATTTAGAGCCTGTTGCCATTCATATGTTTTGTTTGTGTGGGATTTTTCTGAATGCCAAGTTTGTATTATTTAGAATGTTTTAATGCTCTCTGCGGTCTGTTCATGTCAATTCTCTGGTAAAATGACTTCTGAAAAATAGTTTCTTTGTGTATTTACACACATTTTGTTTTTCTTTCCTTCCTTTTTGCTCCCTGTTCCTTCATCATCTGTTTTCCTCAGGTGATGGAGACGAAGAACATGCTTTATTTGGTCACAGAGTATGCAAAGAATGGGGAGATCTTTGGTAAGTTTTTTATTTTAAAATTGACCGTACTTGTCTAACCAAACTCTCACATTCTTCCTCCTTCTGACAAACATTAAAGTGTTGAAGTCTTATTGAGCTTACGTTGCACTCTGCTTTGTAGCCCTAATCTCAAAGGTCACATGATTGATGGAAATCTGAGAACAATGCTCTAATGTAACCCTCCTCTTGTCCTGCCGAAGTTGTTCTTGTATAATTGACATATGAATGACATCACTAAAAGCCTGTTAAGGCCTCAGAAAGGCAACCTCAAAGAGATAAAGGTTAATTAATGACTACTAGTGCTGCACATTCAGTTCCAATGGACCATTTTACTGTTAAATGTCAAGATATGACTTTCTACCATCTGCTCTGTCATTCCCTCTCTTGATTAAAATTGCTTTTATATTACATCTAAATATTGCCTCTTAAGGCCACATCAGGGCTGAATTGCAATAGAATTTGTTCTGACTGCATGGAAAAGGCTGATAGTTTTAGTTTATTTCTGTTTGAACTATTTAAGCAGTTTTGTATTGTGTAACAGGAATCAAACATGTGACTGGAGCGACGAAGAAGCTCCAAGCTTTCTGAACAAACAGCCTTTATAAGCCCCCAGTTTATATGGTAGAAATCCATTAATGTTGATGAAGCTTAAGGGTGAAAGCAGAAAAAGTTCGATTTAGTTTTATGAGAAACTGTAAATTTGAAATGCAAAATAGTGCTTCTTTTATAGGTGGTCACTGAATAGAAAAACCTTTTTTTGTATCATTTTAAAATCTTGTGTTTAAGAAGACTAACTTTAAAAAAATGAAACTTTTACTCATTCCACCCTATACTTTGAAAACAACTACCTCTGACTTAAACCACAATTTAAAAAAAGGGCAAAAACACATTCATATAATCAGAATTCACGTAATTTAAACACATGCTGCAATTATAATAAAGTTTAATTAATTCATGTCTTTATTATAAAGCTGCAGTCAGTTTTAGATCAATTGTTTTGATCTAAATGGAAAAAGAACAAATTCTGGAATTACAAAAAATACTAATCTCCATGAGATAAGGAATTGAAGCAAAGAAAAAAATATTTAAAATTTTAGACAGTTCATTGAGACATTTTACTGGAGGACTAACATATATGCCCTGGTACAAGTTAGCCCAGACAAGTCAGAACACAGCAAGAATAGCACTTGGAGATAAGAACTTATCTTGGTCTACCATGGCACTCTTGTGCGCTCAATCGCTGTCGCATATGCACTGCACAAGCACAGTTTGTACAATATGTACAGACTGCAATCTTCAATCCAGCCTATTGGACATGGGCCTGCAGAAATGGCTGGGTGTAGTTATGTTTAGTCGGAAACCAAAAATGAGAAGAACTTTGCAGCTCATGAAAAGAGATCGGTCATAAATAAAAATTTTACATTTCACTCACTGATGTTTTTTTTTTTGCTGTTTTTGTTTTTTTTACTTTATAAAAAAGTAGAAAAAATCAAATATTTTCACAGCAAGTTTAAGTAAAAAAAAAACAAACAAACAAAAAAAGTGTTTAATCATTTATTGAGGAAGTGACAGTGCAGAAAAAGGATTAGATGACCAAATAAAAAAAGAAGCTGCTATCGGATAATGCATATCGAGTTGAAGGGTGAATAGTCAGGTCATATGTAGATACAAAAAAAGACCAAAAACAATTGTTTTCATGATAAAATAAGGCCAAGTACACAAAGCTTCTGTCTTCATAGTGTTTTTATATTCCTTTTTATGAGTCTAAATAGAATTCCAGCATTGGGTGCAGTGAGCAGACATAAGCAGACGAGGAGCCGTCTACAGACAGCACCATGGAACTATCTGAAAGGCAGATAGCGATAGGCGACGCATCTACTTAATAGAGCCTGTTCGTCCTGCAGCGCCACATAGTAAAGCGATGGCACAGCATGGTCGGAGACAGTCTGATAACTAAATAAACCCCTCCACAGCAACTCTAATTTCTATTAAATCCTTCCCAAAGCCTTTTCAGTTAGAAGATCAAGGGAAAGAAAATTCTTGTTCCTAGCATGCAGGGACCGTTTGCTAGGAACATCCATAATCCATAATCTCGGCTTTGATAGCTCCGGCTTCAATGAATTCCAGCATTTGTACTTTATTCCGATTGCTATTCCAATCTTATCCCTTTTGGAATCAAATATTTTATGCTTTTTTTAGACTGGATGTTGAACCTCTCTTTACTATTTTCACAACTCCACTGGAAAGTGACGTAGCTGCATTATTTATCCTCTGCCCACACGCACAACAATTGTACCTCCATTGTTATTCTTAATATGCATACATGACTATTTTTATTAAGAAATTTTGCAAAAACAAAGTGTAAAACTAAAAAATAAAAAATGATACCCCAGGAAGATTCAGTAATCCATTAAAAACACCTTGTGTGCAACCAGGTTGAATTACTGGTGTAAAATTAAAAAAGTCTTAATTTGACTATATACATTTTTAAAAGTAAGAAAAGAAAGGTGGATGAATGCATTATTGGTTTCCGTTGAAAGGAACTGATATAGTTAGTCTAACTGCTTATATAGGCTTTGTTTACAGTCTCAAAATTGGAATTAATGTTAATGTAAATTTATATGATTAATTATAGAATAATAACAGAAATTTGTACATTTATATGTATTAGCTACACATTTCTGTTCTACTCTCCATAGTTTACATGTATGTAGCTTTACATCAATGCACAATAGTGGCACCAGGTGGGGCGACTTCATGTGGGAACTATTCAATAAAAAAAATCATTGCTGTACCTTCCAATGGCAGCACAAGGGAGATAGCCTTTACCATGTATAACAAACTTCAGAGAACATTCATTCATCTTGCACTTTCACAAAATGCTTAGTAAATAAAGTCAACCAACTCATGCTTTGCATCCCTTTTTTTTAACTAGAAATTCAGCAGTATGTGAAGGGGGCATTTAAGATCTTGTTTTAATGAGGTCATGCTTTACTCAGTTAGCTCCTTAACCTCCAAAGACCTCGTCGACACATGAGTGTCAGCTTCCATTCCTAAAGCAGGTTTAATGTCTCAATAAGAAGAATGAAAAACTATACCTGTTTGGACGAAGTCTTTTAGCACTCAAAAATACTACACATTTACATAATGCTGGATAAAAGGCTTTTGAGCATCTTCTTGATAATAGAGCCTCACCTTTGACACTGACTGGGAATGTTTGCAACATAACCTACTTTAGGCAGAGACGATGAGAGGATTACTTGAGCCACGCGCTGTGTCCGTCGTCATGTACGTATGCTTATTCATGTGCACCTGTGCCAGAGTCCAGGGTTCCACTGATGTTGACTCGGCAGCAGCAGTTCCTGAAGAGTATGGGGGGGGCAATTAAGAGTGCAGCTTTCTAGTACATAAGAAACTGCATAACCTATCAGCTAATCCATTGTTGTATACAATTGTAAGAATACATATCATAGTTTTTGCCTTATCTTCTGACTTAAATGCTTTCTTCTACAACTTTTTTTTGTATTTGAGGGTTTTTCGAACTATAAATTGCTTAAAGGAATAGTACACCCAAAACATGATTAGCCTTCATTTTCTACTCACCCCCATGCTGAACAACACTCTGGAGTA